ATGTATTCCTACAGAATTGTGCTTGTGTTTTGCTGTAAATAGCATAAGTATATCTATTGCCAGTAAGTGCGCTGTTTTATTTTTCAGCTGCCTACATACTGTATTTGTGTGTGTGTGTGTGTGTGTGTGTGTGCTTTCAGTACCCTGCAAAAAATAATAAATGGTTTATGATCGAATAAAAGTCCTACAGCAGCAAAAATAATGAAATAAAATAAAATAAAAATAAAACAAGAAGCAGATGCAAGCATATTTTGAAGGGGGCAGTGAGTGGGAATACAGATAAAAATTAATCTTAGCCAGACCTTGGAATCAATCCTGGCTATTTTTCAGTCTTTTATTCTTATTGTTTCTTTTAATTTTTCAGGGACAGGTTCCAAGGGTTACTATAGAAATTGAAATGATAAATACAAATATTCCTCAATTTATAGCCACAATTGAGCTCTAAATTACATTATCAGTCGAGGCCCCGGATGACTGCAAGTGAATTTCTGGTGTATTTTTTCATGGTGGACGTTCAAGTGAATGCCGTGGTGATTGAGCAGCCCGTTCATTTGAATGAGTGTTTTTCTGCTGAAAATGGGCGAAACCTTGGCAAAATGGTGGTCACGTGACTGCAGAACGTGACGGTTGTACAGCTGACGACGTGGTCACGTGACCACAGGGGGCACCAGAACCATTTGCGACCACCAGGGGGTGCTTTACAGCAGGGGTCTCCAACCTTGGTAACTTTAAGAGTGGTGGACTTCAACTCCCAGAATTCCTCAGACAGACAGACAGACAGACAGGTGAAGTTGTGGACTTCAACTCCCAGAATTCCTCAGACAGGTGAAGTTGTGGACTTCAACTCCCAGAATTCCTCAGACAGATAGACAGACAGGTGAAGTTGTGGACTTCAACTCCCAGAATTCCACAGACAGATAGACAGGTGAAGTGGACTTCAACTCCCAGAATTCCTCAGACAGACAGGTGAAGTTGTGGACTTCAACTCCCAGAATTCCACAGACAAACAGACAGGCAAAGTTGTGGACTTCAACTCCCAGAATTCCCATGCTGGCTGAGGAATTCTGGGAATTGAAGTCCACCAGTCTTAAAACTGCCACGGTTGGGAGACCCTCGTTTTACGGGCCCTAAAGCACTTGTTCCATGCCCGTGGTAACGTCAAACCATTGTAAAATGAGTGGTGGTTAAGCGAGGACTAAACAAAGCCAAAAAAAAGAAACACCTTCCCTTCTCTTTGATCCATGGATCTGTTCGAAATTGTTTGAGACGTCCCTCTCTTCTTCCTTTCCTTACAGCCCTCAGGAATACAGGTGGGAGAAGGATGGAGCTGACACGGCCTTGTTGGATGCTCAAGATGACATCCTCAGCTTCCCCAACCTAAACAAAAGCGACAGTGGGACTTATATTTGCTATGCTTCCAATCTGGTGGGCAGGTCTTCTGCGAAATACACCCTGTCCGTCAGCGGTAAGACGTGTTTTGTAGCCCTTCTGCCTCCTAGATGACTTATTAACAGAGTAGCAGAGTGGGAAGGGATCTTGGAGGTCTTCTAGTCCAACCCAGTGCTCAAGCAGGAGACCCTATCCCCATTTCGGACAAATGGCTGTCCAGTCTCTTCTTAAAAACTTCCAGTGTTGGAGCATTCACCGCTTCTGGAGGCAGGTTGTTCCACTGGTTAATTGTTCTCACTGTCAGGAAGTTTCTCCTTAGTTCCAGGTTGCTTCTCTAATGATCTTCTACCTGTTGTTTCTTGTCCTGCCTATGAATAATAATAATAAAGTTGGAAGGGACCTTGGAGGTCATCTAGTCAAACCCCCTGCTCAGGCAGGAAACCCTAGACCATTACAGACAAATGGCTGTCCAGTCTCTTCTTAAAAACTTCCAGTGTTGGAGCATTCACCGCTTCTGGAGGCAGGTTGTTCCACTGGTTAATTGTTTTGACTGTCAGGAAGTTTCTCCTTAGTTCTAGGTTGCTTCTCTCCTTGATCAGTTTCCATCCGTTGCTTCTCGTCCTGCCTTCAGGCGCCTTGGGGAATAGGTTGACCCCCTCTTCTTTGGGGCAGCCCCTAATCCTTAACCCTAATCCTAGGAAACGCCCTCACCCCATGCCAATTATTTTCATTTACCTCAAAGGGCTGTTGTGCAAATGGCAATTGTGAGGAAAGTGCCAGCCTTGACAAATTATTTTAGTTATTGGCAACGTCTACAGCCTAGTTTTCCGCAAGAGAGGGACAGGCAGAAATTCACTGGGGTTGCAAAGGTCATTAACCCAAATAAACTCCATTAAAAATTAACTTCAGACAATACCAGAGTTATTAAAAATTCATCTAGAGCAATCTAATAAAGGTCCTAATTTTCTTACGAAGATTGGCCTACCAGGGGTCCTGGTGGGTACAAGAAAGGAGGGATATCCGTATTTGTCCTGGTTAGCAACTTTTATTGCAACAACAAACTAAATTGAAACCCTGGAAGATCCATTTCAGCTCTGTAGAGTCAGGAAATGAAAGTAGAAAATCCCAAAGTATTTGGTTTACATTTCGTCTTGGCCAAGAACTTGAAAATGGCCATCATTCTTGATCAACCTTAGTTCCCAATGGGAACTAATTTGGTAAAGTTACTACAGAGCTACAAACGGCCGTTGCGCAGCTTTCCAAGCATATCACAATGCTGTGCGAATTGTTGTCGTTTTAGCCTACCCATCCGTTTACACGTCGAGCCTATATTTTCTGTGTAATTCAGAGATGCAACTCTGCTATTTACAATAATTTGCACCCTGGGTAACCTTCGTTTTGTGGTGGTGTGTGCGTTTTTTCAAAGAAACGCACAAACTTATGGCGATGACAATATTTCTGGCTACGAAGAGCAAATACAGTGGACGAGCAAATGTAGTTACGGATTAAGATGGTGTTTCTCAACTTTGACCATTTTAAGATGTGAGGACTTCAACTCCCAGAATTCCCCAGAGAGCGTGGCTGGCTGGGGGATCCTGGGAGTTGAAGTCCACGTATCTTAAAGTTGCCAGACTCAAGAAAAACTGGATTAAGGCACTGAGAAGACTTGGGTCCATTAGCTATTGAAGCTCACTAGATAAATTTGGGCCAGTTGTTGGCTAGGTTTCCATCAGGTGGGAGCTGAAACAAGCAAGCCACGTTCTGAGTGGCTTATCAGGATACTCTAACCTAGATATCCCAGCTTGCTGAGATAATATCATAGCATCTTAAAGATAAATGAAGGTATTCTGGTACATGGGTATGAAACGCAGAAATAGCGAGCAATTAAGTAATTTTGCAGAGGAGATGATGAATTGTGCTTTAGCCCCTGAATCTCGCATTCTGCTTCCATCCGGATAGATGCCAGTCCCATGACACCACAAAGGAGCAGCTATCACGCCATTGTCGGGGGCGTGGTAGCCTTCATCATCTTCTTTCTCCTTATCCTCCTCATCGTTCTGGGACACTACTTGATTCGGCACAAAGGTAAGGGCCAGCCCCCTCCTGTCCCTTCGGTCCCTCCCGTTCCATCTTCATGTGTCTTGGAGTTCCACTGCCCCAGCTCTTAGCTGTTAGGCCTCGGTCCATCTGTTGCTCAGATTGGAGGCAGACAGCAAGTCCTGGACTTACAGGCACTCATTTAGCGGCCATCCGAAGTTACAATGTCACTGACAGGAGTCACGGAGGGCCAGTCCTTGCGCTTACGGCCCTGGTCACCTGGTCAAAATTCCGGCGCTTGGCCTAAGACGCAGGAATAACTTAGAGCCTCCGATGCTCCTCCCTTTTTATCCGCCTGTCAAAGGAAGATTTGCAAAAATGTGTGGTCTTTTTTACTTAGGAATTGAGGCAAATAACTCTCATTTGTCTTCTTCCATCCCTCTTTCCCTCTTCATCCTTCCTTCCTTCCTCCCTCCCTTTCTCTCTCTCTCTCTCTCTCCTCCTCCCTCCCTCCCTCCCTCCCTATCTTCTTTCCTCCCTCTTTTCCTCTTTCCTTTTTATTTTTTTCTCCATCCCTTTCCTCCCTTCCCTCACTCCCTCTCTTCCTCCATCCTTCCTTCCTTCCTTTCATCTTCCCTCCCTCCCTTTCACCTTACTTCCTTGTCTATGATCTTACTTCTTCTCGCTCTTCCTCTCTCTTTCATTTTCCTTCCTTCTCTATCACCATCCTTCCTTTCCTCCTTTCCTTCCTTCCTTCCTTCCTTCCTTCCTTCCTTCCTTTCCTTCCTTCCTTCTCTATCATCTTCCTTCCTCCCGCTCTCCCTCCCTCCCCTTCATTTTCCTTCCTTCCTTCTCAACCACCATCCTTCCTTCCTTCTCACCCTCCCTCTCTCTCCTTCCTTCCTTCCTTCCTTCCTTCCTTCCTTCCTTCCTTCCCTCCCTCCCTCC